AGTCTTTCTTTCTCGCCGATGGCAGTCGCCAAGATCTGCATCGTTCAACCCCTCAACTTGAAGCTAAAGTAACTGGATCGTGGGAAAGAAGCGCCAAGCTCGTCATATGGTTGCCATTTTTGCCCTTGAAATGAGCAATTTCTTCTTGACCTCTTCATTATTGCACAGCCAATCTAAATTCTCAGGAGAAGGGTAGCTTTATATACAGATTTCTTGTATACCGAGATTTTGCAATCCACACACCCGCGAAACAAGCGTACATCTTCCCACCACAACACGCGGTGTCGGTGCTCGAAAGCATTGAAGAATAATTTTCCTGTTTTGAGATGTGCGAGGAAACAATAAAGTTGTTAGAGATCCGTGGAGATTGGCATGATTGAGAGGTTGATTGCATACACAGTGTCAAAGACGCTTATATTGGCAAGGAACGCTTCAGTACGATGATGCTCCATGGTGAACTTCGTGCGAAGGGGTTGCGAACGACCAGCTTGGTGCTTCAAAGATTTGAATGGACCGAAATGGTGATTGTCACTGTAACGAAAACCGATTAGCCAATTGCCTTGCGAGGTTTTGGTGGTCTGTATGTTAGTATGTGTTTGTGTTCGGCAAGCAGGCGGGGAAGGCAATAGCAATACTTTTTTCAGGATCCTGGGACTTCACTCGGAGCCAGAGCAAGCGGCCACGTGGCCTGGTGCCTATCCTATGCCGCCAACGTTAATCATAGCCAGGCGCTAGGGTTGGTAAAGTAGAAGACGCTTGCTGAGCTCCAGGCATTGTTAGAGTTCGGTTCTTCTTATCAACGCAGTGATTGGGCATAAGCAACTACCCGAGTGTCAGCCGAGGCCTTGATTTTTACGAGCCGAAGTCGAGTGTTCACGCATTTCTCGTGTTCAATTCATGAGCCGCGCTCGACTGTCATCAGGTGGGTGGTTTCGGTCCCACAATTACGTGATCAAGGTTTACGAAGGCAAAACTGAAAGAAATAGTCCTCTTTTATCCTCGCAATTTTACCGTGATAAAGAAGCTTCTGAATCAGTGGCGGTCTGTGCGAGGGCACTTCGGCCAGACTAGGACCAGTACGCCTCTGCAAAGTCTTGCACATTCCAGCCCGATATCGTTTCGAGACCTTTTTAAATTTTATTTTAAGAAATCCAGTATTTGAGAGAGTATTCCGTGCCCCCTTATAAGTGAAATACGAGATCCTATGAAAGATCACTAGTAATTAGAATTGCAAACTTGAGTCGTTCTCTCGTTCATACATTTCTCAACTGGTCCAGGTACGGATTAGGACGCTAAACGAACCAGTCGGAGACGCGCTCCAGGCGCCATAACTGGTAGTGCGCATTGTGTTTAGTCTTCTTATGTGTCACCTACTAAAGCTTGTATTGATACTGACCTTTAAACATTACAGGAGCGAGGAATAATTATTTTCCGAAATTTCTTTATCTAGATATTAGGAAAGTACTTAAAATAAGAAAAGCAAATTATGTTTATTTTGTTTTGTCCTAGGCCTACGAGACATTCTCACAACAAAAAGATCAGACCATATGATTAGCGCAGTTGTACAGGAAGGTAGCCATAACTGGCTTCGACTTTTCTTTACATTTCAATCCCCTCACTTTAATTCCTCAGTGGTCGCGCCACAATTAAGTCATTTACCTTTTATATTCCCCAGTGTTCATGCTCAAAAAGTGGGCATTGTGAGATTTTGTCATTACCATTTCAGTGACTGGGAATTTCGGTGAGGCAACAGAAGGACAGTTATGGCTACACAAACCTTGCGTGAGGAAAAAGGCCCCCTCCACGCGTTGACTTATACGTGGTTTGAAATGACTTTACAGCAATGGCCATTGTGGTGGATTTGCTGTTGGTCGCATACGTTCTTCCCCATACAATTCGCACCAGTACGCCAAATTAGATCCTCGTGTGATGTGTTCCCTGTTCTATCAAAATGTGCGCAGTTTGCGAAAAAAAAAAGCTAATATGTTTTTTGCAACGTCGTTTTAAGTAATTTTGATATTTCCATAAGCGAAACGCGGTTGAACAGACATTTTGCATCAAATGATTACTTCCCTCCTAAATACGCAGTGTTCCGTCGGGACAAGGAATATAAAAATCTTGACCATGATTTAACAACCCCGTGAGTTCAGGTAACGACACACGCACTCAAAAGTCTCTATATTATTTGAGACTTTTGACTCTGTGTGACGTTACCTGCAGTTTCGGGGTTTTTGAATCACATTTAATGTGCACCAGCTCGTTTGCGCCCTTACATTTTTTTTTTTTTTAATTTGGCTGTTAACTTTCATCGCGGAGCTCTCATTGCAGTTAAAAATCACTTGCGTGCGGGTCGCATGTTTTATTTTGAATCAGACAGCGAATCTTTTTGGATTCAGACAGCTCTCTGTGGAAAAACAATAGTCTTCTAATCGATACTTTATATTTTCCTTCTAATTTTGGTGAATCTAGATTTTTTTAACAGTTAGACATGTTGGCAGATATATTAGATGTAGATGGACATAGTATTGGGGAGGAGATCGAACAGTCACGCTTGTAGCGGTACACTTCAGCTGTTTGGGCAGCGCACTGGATTATATATATATATATATATATAAATATATATATATATATATATATATATATATATATATAAATATATATATATATATATATATATATAATATATATACATATATATGTATATTATATATATATATATAGGAGTTCATATCCTGGCTCCGCCGTTTTTTGGCTTTCGGCGGGTTCCTGAAAACTTGGACTCTTTACCAAAATGAGTAGCTGGGCGAGTTGGATAGACATCTTGACTTAAACAGCGCAAATAAGTTACGTAAGGAAGAGACAACAGGAAGGAAAGAGCGCTGATTCACAACTGAGGTTTTAATAATGATGTAGTGAAAGAGAAAGATGGTGTCAAGTGTTGTGATATTATTAAATTTAAGAAGGTTACAATTATTAACCTCTTTCTAAGGGTCATATTAACGGAATGACCATTTGCATTTCTAAGTAACCCAAGTGAATATATCTACGTACAAATATTCAGATGTGATCTACAAAGTTCTCGGTGACCCAACGGTTACTGGTTGTCACAGCCAGAAAAAGAAGAAGAATCACGATGTCGACGGTGGTCCCAAGGGCGTTGGCTTTCACAGAAATGAAAATTGAGAACAAGGAAAAGAAGAAGAAAACAGGAAGAAAAATAATTTAGGGACTAAAATTCAACAATTGGAGCTCTTTCGCCGTCAGTGCAATCGAAGGCGTACTTATGCAGGCTAGGCCCTTATTCGCGATCTTGCACGCCCCGTACACCTCTCTAGTCTTTTGATCCTTAAAATGTTTAAGCACCTTAGTCTCAGGAAACCTTGGTGTGCACCCGCAATCTCTCACATGCACGGCAAGATGGCCCGCTGGCGTTGAGTTTAGAGAAAGTGCATGTTCCCTAAGTCTCACATTGATGCACCTTCCAGATTGTCCCAGATACACCTTCCCACATGACAACGGTATTTCATATATGATGCCGCTCTGACATTCCACGAACTTTCTTGCATGGTTGATTTTACATAGGTCGTGTGTATCCCGCTGCTCGTTGATTTTTGGACATAATCTTTTAAGTTTGTCGGGCGCTGTGAGGAGGATAGGAACCTCAAACTTTGCGGCTACTCTTTTTAGGTTATGGGAGAGACGGTGAATGTAGGGCATTACCACAGGTCGGATCCTTGTTCGGTTTGGACTTCCTCTTTGACGTTGTTTTAACATGCTCTCCACGATGGTGGAAATAACTGAGGTCGGGTACCCTGAAGCGCGAAGTCTCTGCAGCTGGTTGTTGAAGCTCTCTCCTGCTGTGTGGTCGCAAGACTTCCTCAGAGCCGCCCCCAACGTACTTGCAACAATTCCTCTCTTGACGAGCTTCGTGTGTGCGGAGTCGAATTGCAGAAGACTTTTCTTTGTTCGTGGGGCGTACATCCAGCATACACTGTCTTCGTGGAATGTTATTTTGAGATCTAAGAATTCGAGGGACTGGTTTTCCGGCCATTCATGCGTGAACTTTAGTCCCCCGGCGTGTTCTTCGAATGTCGTTTGAACGGAATCCATGAACTGTGTCTCACATTTGGGTCTGGCATTGAGGAGGATAAGATAGTCGTCTACGTATCTGAACATACGACTAACCTGGGGAATGTCAAGGCTGTCATCAATGGCTCTATTACATTTCGAGAGGTAAACATCTGTCAAAGCAGGAGCTACACAGGACCCTATACAGATTCCTCTCTTCTGTATGTAGTGTTCTCCATTGAACGTTACCACAGTTGAGTTCAAGCAAAACCGTAGAAGCTCAAGGAAGGAATCCACTGCCATTCCACAGTTGTTCTGAAAGGCTACTTCTCCATTGGCTTCAATGTGTTCTCTCAAAGCAGTAAACATCCCCCCGTGAGGTATGGAGTAAAATAAGTCTTCTACATCGAGGGATAGGCCATACCGAACAGATAAGATGTTGTTTTCCAGATAGTCAATCACCTTCTCAGAATTGGAGACCAGAAAAGGGTCATTCAGTCGCAGGGTTGCCAATTGCCGCTGGAGGAACCTTGACATGGCTCCTTGCCACGATCCTTTTTCTGTAATGACCACACGGAAAGGACACGCTTCTTTGTGTGTTTTCCCGGTGAAGAATAAGCCCAGTTGGTCTTTATCGGCTGATGTTATCTGTTTTCGTAATTGCTCTAACTCAAACTTGTGGCACAGTTGTAGAGCTCTGGCCTTCACTGACTTGGATTTGTAACCTTCTAGTTTCTTAAAATTTTTCCCGATGGCCATTCTTGCCTTGTTCGTGTAAATATCATGGGGAGCTACAATAAATCCTCCTTCTTTATCTGAAACAATTAAGTTTAAATTGTTCTCCTGGAAATACCCTACAATGCTGTCTAACTTGGTTTTACTGCATGTTGCGGGTGCCGTTCCCACTCTCATCATCACATCCATGCATTCATCGATACACCGTGGTCGGTACGGCAAAAACTCAAGAGCCGTACCGACCACGGTGTATCGATGAATGCATGGATGTGGTGATGAGAGTGGGAACGGCACCCGCAACATGCAGTAAAACCAAGTTAGACAGCATTGTAGGGTATTTCCAGCAGAACAATTTAAACTTAATTGTTTCAGATAAAGAAGGAGGATTTATTGTAGCTCTCCATGATATTTACACGAACAAGGCAAGAATGGCCATCGGGAAAACTTTTAAGAAACTAGAAGGTTACAAGTCCAAGTCAGTGAAGGCCAGAGCTCTACAACTGTGCCACACGTTTGAGTTAGAGCAATTACGAAAACAGATAACATCAGCCGATAAAGACCAACTGGGCTTATTCTTCACCGGGAAAACACACAAAGAAGCGTGTCCTTTCCGTGTGGTCATTACAGAAAAAGGATCGTGGCAAGGAGCCATGTCAAGGTTCCTCCAACGCCAATTGGCAACCCTACGACTGAATGACCCTTTTCTGGTCTCCAATTCTGAGAAGGTGATTGACTATCTGGAAAACAACATCTTATCTGTTCGGTATGGCCTATCCCTCGATGTAGAAGACTTATTTTACTCCATACCTCACGAGGGGATGTTTACTGCTTTGAGAGAACACATTGAAGCCAATGGAGAAGTAGCCTTTCAGAACAACTGTGGAATGGCAGTGGATTCCTTCCTTGAGCTTCTACGGTTTTACTTGAACTCAACTGTGGTAACGTTCAATAAAGAACACTACATACAGAAGAGAGGAATCTGCATAGGATCCTGTGTAGCTCCTGCTTTGACAGATGTTTACCTCTCGAAATGTAATAGAGCCATTGATGACAGCCTTGACATTCCCCAGGTTAGTCGTATGTTCAGATACGTAGACGACTATCTTATCCTCCTCAATGCCAGACCCAAATGTGAGACACAGTTCATGGATTCCGTTCAAACGACATTCGAAGAACACGCCGGGGGACTAAAGTTCACGCATGAATGGCCGGAAAACCAGTCCCTCCAATTCTTAGATCTCAAAATAACATTCCACGAAGACAGTGCATGCTGGATGTACGCCCCACGAACAAAGAAAAGTCTTCTGCAATTCGACTCCGCACACACGAAGCTCGTCAAGAGAGGAATTGTTGCAAGTACGTTGGGGGCGGCTCTGAGGAAGTCTTGCGACCACACAGCAGGAGAGAGCTTCAACAACCAGCTGCAGAGACTTCGCGCTTCAGGGTACCCGACTTCAGTTATTTCCACCATCGTGGAGAGCATGTTAAAACAACGTCAAAGAGGAAGTCCAAACCGAACAAGGATCCGACCTGTGGTAAAGCCCTACATTCACCGTCTCTCCCATAACCTAAAAAAAGTAGCCGCAAAGTTTGAGGTTCCTATCCTCCTCACAGCGCCCGACAAACTTAAAAGATTATGTCCAAAAATCAACGAGCAGCGGGATACACACGACCTATGTAAAATCAATCATGCAAGAAAGTTCGTGGAATGTCAGAGCGGCATCATATATGAAATACCGTTGTCATGTGGGAAGGTGTATCTGGGACAATCTGGAAGGTGCATCAATGTGAGACTTAGGGAACATGCACTTTCTCTAAACTCAACGCCAGCGGGCCATCTTGCCGTGCATGTGAGAGATTGCGGGTGCACACCAAGGTTTCCTGAGACTAACCGCCGAATTCAGAAACCTCACTCCAACTACACTCAAACTGAAGGGCCCCTCCACTTCCTCGAGGAAGGTGCGAGGGCCGGCGCTGGCCAATCGCGAGGACGCATCCGCCGTCGCGATTGGCCAGCGCCGGCCCATGCGCCTTCCTCGAGGAAGTGGAGGGGCCCTTGAGTTTGAGTGTAGTTTGAGTGAGGTTTCTGAATTCGGCAGTAAGGTGCTTAAACATTTTAAGGATCAAAAGACTAGAGAGGTGTACGAGGCGTGCAAGATCGCGAATAAGGGCCTAGCCTGCATAAGTACGCCTTCGATTGCACTGACGGCGAAAGAGCTCCAATTTTTGAATTTTAGTCCCTAAATTATTTTTCTTCCTGTTTTCTTCTTCTTTTCCTTTTTCTCAATTTTCATTTCTGTGAAAGCCAACGCCCTTGGGATCACCGTCGACATCGTGATTCTTCTTCTTTTTCTGGCTGTGACAACCAGTAACCGTTCGGTCACCGACAACTTTGTAGATCACATCTGAATATTTGTACGTAGATATATTCACTTGGGTTACTTAGAAATGCAAATTGTCATTCCGTTAATATGGCCCTTAGAAAGAGGTTAATAATTGTAACCTTCTTAAGTTTAATAATATCACAGCACTTTACACCATCTTTCTCTTTCACTACATCATTATTAAAACCTCAGTTGTGAATCAGCGCTCTTTCCTTCGACTTTTTCGCAGGTCAGCAATATTTTGTATTATTTTATCCAGAACGCTCTTATTTTTCACTCAATTGCATCTGAAAATTGCAACTGAGGACATCGGTTCTCCCGGCACGGGAGAACCAAGTATTCAGCGGTGATGACATCCCAAGAACAAAAAACGTTAAATGCGACCAACCCCACCTTGACCAATGCTTCCCTGGCGCATGCCGAGGAGGCAGCCTCTTTGTCCGGTCTAAAGTGCCCCCCAGAAGAAATTCAGGCCGACGTCAACATGATAGAGCGTGATGAGGATCTCACCGAAGTGATGGACCCAACGAACGCACTACCGCTCTCATCGCACTACTACGCAGAATCTACCTCGGACGCCTCGGACATCACGTTCGATATGCGGGACTTCCAAACTGTGCACTCTAGCAAACGGAGGAAAAGAACGCTCAACCTTGCGCCTAAGATAATGGCACACACCACCACGTTCCCTTCGGCTCTGGGCAATGTAGTGGTCTTCACTCCGCAAGACCCCACAAAGCAAGTCACAAGCTTTAATAGCATTCGCCTGACCGCGGAGTTAGAAAACATCGCTCCGTCCAGTATCCTGCAAATCAGGCCAAATAAGGCACTAAACGTCATTGCTATTGACACCCGGAACTTACAAACTACAGCGCAGCTGTTGAAGCGTGAAACTTTGCTAGGTGTACCGATGTACGCTTATGAACCAAGGTCCAAAACTCATGCCGTGGGTGTCATAAAGGACGTAGCGAAGGACATAACTGAGGAAGAGCTCAAGGCACAGCTTAAGAGTACAATTAAGCTTGCTCAACTGAGGCGCTTGGGTGATTCCCAAACAGTACGCCTCACTTTTCTCGGAAGTGAGCTGCCAAGTCATGTCGCTGTAGGCTGCGTCCGGCATCCAGTCACCGCATACTCACCACGTCCAGTGCAATGCCACTCGTGCGGGAAACTTGGCCATCTAACCCCAACGTGTGCGCGTCAAAAGATATGCCTTCGCTGCTCCAACGCCCATGACACCGAGGAATGCCCGCCAAACGCCCCATCCAAATGTGTGAATTGCGGAGGAAAACATCACGCGGCATCCCCACATTGCCCGAAAATCAAACTCATGAGAAAGATCAACGACTACCGACAGCAAAATGGAGTGAACCACGCTACCGCAAAAACAGCTGTCACTACGCTTAACAAAACAAAGGAAGACTCCCAGCTGAGGCCACAACAGTTGCCGCAAGCTTCGCAACACCAATCAACCTGGCCAAGCGTCGTGGAAGCGAATGCTGCCCCTGAAAAGACAGACGGCACGCCGAGTATCCCCACGATTTCAGGTAATCCCGCTGCTGCGGAGGCAGGAAATGTTCAACCACTTTCTTTGAGAAATCAAAGAGAAACAGTCGCCAGACAAGCCCCTTACCGTGAGGCGTCATCAGAAAGATCTTCTAGTCAGAAGAAACAGAGAATTCCTCCAGCAACTGCACCTCCACTTCACTCTTTCTCAAGCTGGCAAAACCTCGTCATGCCCCTCCTGCAAGCTCTTCGAAGCTTGGTGGCGGGCATCAACAACCCACTTGCCTCGTCAGTATTGAAAATCATCGATCTAGCCATGCCCCTTGTGGCTGAGTTTCTTGGATGAAAAACTCTGCACGATACGTACAACCTCACAGATCGTCGCCAAAGCTCAGACACATTCCGCTAGTCATGCAGTGGAACTGTGCAGGTCTCCAAAACCGTCTTGCAGAACTGTTGCTTTACTTATTGACTGCACCCATACCTATTCTTGCATTATGTGAAGCTGGCCTCCCTAGTGATCAGAGCATCTCCGGCTACGTGAGGTACTCAAACCCCACTATGAGCGGATTTACTAACGGGAGTGCTGCACTATTCATCAAAAAGTCTCTCCCTCAACACTCTATCGATGTCACTGATTTGTGTAGTGACCATCTAGAAATCGTCGCAGTGCAAGTCAGCGTATTTGGTAAGCCTTTATGTGTGGGGTCCGTATACGCACGCCCGGGAAAAAGCGGCCTTCCTGTTGCCCGTGTAGTGGCGGAGCTTAAGAAACGGTGCCCAAGCTCCTTACTTTTATGTGGGGACTGGAATGCCCACCACGAACTGTGGGGCTGCGCTAAACGAGACGCACGGGGCCTAGCTCTGGCTACAGCTCTAGAGAAGCACGATCTCGTCGTGGCAAATGATGGCCGTCCTACATTCTACCGCCCTCCTTGCACCTATAGCGCCATCGATATAACCGCCCATTGTACAGACCTCGAAGTCACGTGGCAAGTATTAGCCGACACAATGGGAAGCGATCATTTTCCTATTTTCCTGGATTTATAAGACTACCAACCGTCGAAGCAGCGCACAATTGATATGATCATTTGGGATACTTTCCGCAGTCACCTTTTATTGGTAAAGGAAGACGTATGTGCGGCTATTGTAGACGCTGCAAAAGCATCAACAGTGCAAATACGCCTCCCAGTACATTACCCCAAACCGGACCTGATTTTTCTGAATCTTTGCGCACGCAGGAGACAGGCCCAACGAAAGCTGCAGCGTTCTGGAAATCCGCTACTAAAATCGCATTTCAACAAGTTAAACGCCGCAACTATAGCGCTATGCGAAGAAGCTACGCAGACAACAATGGCACGATGTGTGTGCTAAATCAGATGCCCACACACCAGCTTCCCGGATTTGGCATATTCTCGATTGCTTTATGGGAGCAAGAAACAAACTGTCGCCCCAAGCCTCTCTCGCACTCCGACGAGGAAAAGACCTCCAGGTTATAGCGGACGAATTCGCTAACTATTACGCCTCGGTCCGGAGCCAATCGCAAGAACCGTGCGTCATAGTTTCGACTTCGTCCCCTCTTGATGTACCATTCACCCTTGATGAACTCCAGGCGTCGCTCCGTTCCACCAAAAAGCGCACTGCCTCCGGACCAGACGGCATTACCCACCAAATGCTCTGCAACCTGCCAGATGAAGGTCCGCAACTGCTTCTGTCCGAGTTTAACGTTATCTGGTCGACGGGAAACGTACCTGGTGAGTGGCGTTCAGCCTGGGTTGTGCCCATCCTCAAACACGGAAAGCCGAGAACCGAACCTTCATCTTATAGACCCGTTTCGCTTACTTCATGTGTGGCAAAGCTAATGGAACGCATGATACACGCTCGACTTTCTTGGTGGCTTGAAGCTAAACTACTACTGCCCGATGTTATGACAGGCTTCAGAACTCGGCTTCCAACGGCAGACAATATCTTAGACCTGCTCAGCGCAGTCGAACACAATTGGAATGAAAAAAGATCAACGTTGGCGGTTTTCTTCGATATCGAAAAGGCTTTTGACAGTGTGACCCCATCAGTTGTGCTACGAAAACTCACATCCTTAGGCATCACTGGGGTTGTGCAACGCTTTCTTAAGTGCTTTCTAACAGAGCGAACTTTCCGAGTAAAACTCGATAAAACGCTCAGTGCCAACCGTTCTTCCCCAAGCGGTCTACCACAGGGTTGCGTGCTTTCACCTCTTCTGTTTAATGTTGTCCTCTCCGGTCTCCCAAGCGCGGTTCCTTTTACCACACCAAGGGTCAACATGTCCGTGTATGCGGATGATATATGTATCTGGACGACAGGTCACAAGCACTGCAACCTGAAAGCAATTGTCCAGTCGGCAATAACATCTGTTGAGACATACCTTAAAGACTGTGGCCTGCGCATGTCCGCAGAAAAGACTGTTTTCATGATTTTTCCGGGGAAAAATCAACGATTCACCAAACTTGACCTGTGCCTTGGCGGTTCTCCCCTACGTCAAGTCGCAAACCATAGATTTCTAGGAATCAGCTTAAATCAAAGGCTGAAATAGACAAACCAAGTGAAGGCGATGACAAGCTCAACAATCTCGGCTAGAAATGCCGTCCGCCGAGTTGGTGGCGCAAACTGGGGCAATTCCCCTCGCTCAATGCTCTCGCTTCACTCAGCATTAGTAGTGAGCCGCCTTTTATATGCCTTGCCTTATATGAACATCCTACCCACGCCAGCTCTCAAACTGGAACGCATTCATCGACAAGGACTTCGCACAGCCCTTGGCGTTCCGAGAGGAACCAGCAACCTCAAAGTTTACGAAGAAGCCCGAACACTGCCACTGCCTCTAATGGCTTCCCAGCACCTCCTACTACAGATGCTCCGCCTTGAAGAAACTACTGCGGGCCTCTCTTTACTTCGAAGAATCACCCGACGACCCCTATCACGATTTGGCATTTCTCTTCGCACCCTGCGTTACCTCGGGTGGAAACCAAAACCGCCAGTCATCACCAGAAAATCTACACCTCCTTGGGCTGTTCGCACGATCTTATCCCATGAGCACGTTCCAGGCGTAAAGAAGAAAAACAATTCAAATCCCCCGAATCTCAAATATTGTACAGATGAACACGTTGCGACCGAATTCAAAGATTTTCTTCGAGTATATACCGATGGTTCGGTTGACCATCTCAAAAGAAGCAGCACCTCTGCCTTCTGCATCCCAAGCCTTGGAATAGAGTGGGCTGGACGGCTAGAAAGAATGGTCTCCACTACGACAGCCGAACTTTGTGCCATACTTGAGGCCTTAAAGGCTCTACAGACGTATCCGCCTCAGCCCACCGTCATTCT